ACCTAAACTATCAACACAGTTTTGCCTTAACAGTAGCTTGTTTATACCAACAGCGAAGGAGCCTGGAGAGCCAGTGGCAATGAAATCTCGAAAGGCATTTTCCACATTTCCGCAATTCAATTGAGAATTGAATATTTTTCCTCGCAAGAAGGGGTCCAAAGCTGGAACAAGTGGTAGTCAGTTGGTGCAAGGTCTGGTGAATAGAGTGGATGACAGAGAGTTTCCAAGTCTAGCTTCTGTAGTTTAAGCAGCATTGTCTGTGTGACATGTGGTCAAGCATTGTCTTTCAAGAGGATTGGCCTCTTTCTATTGACCAATCTCAGCTGCTTGATCACAAGCATCCTTATTTCGTCCAATTGGTTGCAGTAGACATCTGCTGTAATTGATTGACCAGGTTTCACGAAGCTGTAGTGGATAACAGCGCTGGACCACCAGACACCAGTAGCTTTTTTTGATGAACATTCGGTTTTGGACTGTGCTTTGGCACTTCATCTTTATCCAACCGTTGTACGGAACACTCGCGATTGTCAAAAAGAATCCATTTTTTATCACACGTAACAATACAGCGTAGAAATGGTTCGCCTTTATGTTGTGACTGCAAAGAAAGGCAAGCTTCAAGAGGATTTCTTTTCTGACTCTCCTTTAGTCCATGTGGTACCCATCTATCCAGTTTCTTTACCTTGCCAATTTGTTTCAAATGTTCCAATATTGTTGGAATAGTAACATCAAACCTTGCTGTCAAAATGAAATGTCAGAGATCTCAACTGTCAAACTTAGTACTTAAAGAAATCGGACATTTCATACTAATATAAAGGTGGAATGGGGGGAAGATCTTCCTAAACAGAAGGCAATGAATTAATATCTATTATGCGTAAAGAGCTTCCACAATTCAATAAGGAAATATAGACTGGTAAAGTCTTTTTGGAAAGCAATTTAGCATCTATCAAAATTTAAATGTACGGGCCAGGCGCGGTGGCTCACGCCTGTAATCCTAGCTCTCTGGGAGGCCGAGGTGGGCGGATTGTTTGAGCTCAGGAGTTCGAAACCAGCCTGAGCAAGAGCAAGACCCCGTCTCTACTAAAAAATAGAAAGAAATTAATTGGACAACTAAAAATACATAGAAAAAATTAGCCGGGCATGGTGGCGCATGCCTGTAGTCTCAGCTACTCGGGAGGCTGAAGCAGAAGGATCACTTCAGCCCAGGAGTTTGAGGTTGCTGTGAGCTAGGATGACGCCACGGCACTCTAGCCCGGGCAACACAGTGAGACTCTGTCTCAAAAAAAATAAAAATAAAAATAAAAAAATAAAAAAAATGTAAATGTACACTTAAAAATACTTCCTATGGAATTACTTATATACATATGCATGGCACAAAGACATACATATAAGAAAAGCATTAAGGCTTTAGTTTTAGTTGTTCAAAATTAGAAATAACATAAATGACCATGAATAATTAAAGTACTACCATTCAATGTAATATTTCATGACTTAAAAAAAAATGAGGTGCCACTCTATGTACTGATATGGAAAATACATAATGATCAGACTTTTTATTTTAAAATCAATGTAAAAATTATATAATACAAAGTACTTATTTCTAATTCAATGAATAAAACTGTTAATAGTGAGTAGATACTGCTAAAGAATAGGACTAGAAAGTAAGAAAAGAGTACTTTTCACTTTTTACACAAATTTTCTTTTTGGAGGCAAGTTCTTACTCTGTTGCCCAGGCTGGAGTGCAGTGGCATGATGATAGCTCACTGCAGCCTCTAATTCCTGGGCTCAAGGGATATATTCCTGCCGCCTTAGTCTCCTCAGTAGCTGGGACTACAGGCATGCACCACATCGCCTGACTAATTTTAAAAATCTTTTAGAGACGGGGGTCTCCCTATGTTGCCCAGGCTGGTCTTGAACTCCTGGCCTCAAGTGATCCTCCCACTTCAGCCTCCCAAAGCCCTAGGATTACAGGTACAAGCCAACCACACCTAGCTCTTACTCTAAATATTAAATGAACTTGTTTGAACCTTTTATAATAAGCATGACTGCTTTTAGAATGTAATTTCCCAAAATAAGGGAAAAAAAAAAAACCCACTCTTCTAGTCTGTTACAACAGCCATCTCAGCTAGCTGAAACTAAGGTGATTTTTGTCTTAATAGTTTTCTCTACTTTCCAAATTTTCTATGATGAATATGCATACTTTTTAAATCTAAGAACCTATATTCCAAAAATATGTATTTTATTTCAGTAGTGAAACTACTTTATTTTTTCCCCTGAAAAATTCCAGGGCAGACTATTAATGTAACGTTTATTAAGCATTGCACTTGCTAAGTACTTTACCTGCATACTCTCTCATTTGATCTAAACAGCCCTACGTAATTAGTATTATTGTTATTATGCCTATCTTACAGATTAGAAAACCAAGTCTTGAAAAGTCTTGTATCTTTCCCAGGGTAAAGTAGAAAAGCCAGGACACCAGCTCCTAACCATCTGGGGTACATGGAATAAGTACTAACATACCTCAGAGATAACAGGCTAGACCTCTGAAAACCTGAATGCATTTTCAGACTGACTACTTTTCACCAGGTTGGTGATCCTAAGAAGTGAAGAAGTAATGAAACTCAATTCTCATCACAACAGAAAACAAGCAGTATTTCTTCAGGGCATTGGGGCTATTTTATCCTTTACTTTTTTGCTGGGACAAGGCACAAGAAGGATACAAGCAAGAACTCTGAGGCACAATTTGCAAGTAGTAACTTAACACCTTCCCTCTAATTACTCCGAAAATAGTTAGCCCTCTAATAACTGGAAGGGCTTGTGAGAACAAACTGATCAAAACCCTGAAGACAACCAACCTATTTTCAAGTTTTAATCAAAAGAAAATTGAGAAAGACAAAAGAAATGTTATACTCAAATATTATTATAATAACCAATACTGACAGATTGAAGATAGAAATAACAATACCTACTGTAACTGAAAGTTTATCCTTAGCAACCTGAACAAGTTCTAAGTTCTCTCTTTCAGAAAGTATAATTGAAAAGAAATACAAACTGTTAACCACATTTACTTGGAAACCTGCCTATATCATAAAGATTAGAGAACCATAGGAACCCCTATTCATTTGTTTAGTAGATATACGCCAACTACAAATTTAGGTTACTTTATGAATTTGGGTTTCAGGGTTAGTATTAAATGTCACTAAGTCCAGAAGAATAACTCTCTCTGAACGATAGCAAACCATGAATCAGAGCCCTAAAAGAAGTGAACTACCCAGGAACCCTTCCTTAATAAAAATATCTGCTTACAGAAAGAACTGGCAGATAAGCTGATATAGACAGACCAAGTTTCATACTCCAGCATTTCTATACCTTAATCCCCAAAGAGCAGTAACATATCCATTAAGTTAAGGACAATCAATACTACCAAATGACAGTATTGAAGTTGAGTATTAAGCTATTTTTTTTTAGAGTCTGCAGGAGGGAAAGGTAACAAGGAACTATTTAGTGAAAACACAAACTACACTGAATTAGGTCAACCTCCATTACCAAAATCTAACAGTTGATTTAAAGACCTCCACATACTGTAGGTAAAAAACATGAGGTTCAGTTCTCATAATGTAAATCAGTGTTCTTGGCTAATTAATAGCTAGATTTAAAAGCTGAAGATGACAAAGTGAAAGAGTTGCCTTAATCAATATCCCTAACAGAACATGAAAAAGATCTTCCATATCTATATATACACATATATGAACATGAGCGTGTTTTACAAATGCCACAGAGCTTCTGGCAAAGTTGACAAGTTTTAACCTGCTTTAAAAATTACTATTCACTGCCTTCATCCCAATCTAACTTTATTGAATGTTATTCTTTTGGACAACTCTACAAAAACAAAACCCCCAGAGCAAATTCTTCTACATTTCAATATCCTGCCTACTTATAAGAGCGGAAGAGTCAAACACAGCAGGGGAAAAAAATGTGACGTGCACAACCGTGATCCAAAACACAGCTCTTCATAATCTAATTTTAGGTCTAACCATTTTGTCTTTTTCTAAAGGTTAAAAAAGAAAACTAAGAAACTACAGATAACTCGTAAAGTAGTACTGAGATAATATCAACGGGAGTTGGTTGTTTTTCAGGGGAGGAACAAATCACACTCACACTGTCCAGAGAATATTCCCATTTAAATTTCGATACAACGATGGGCACAACCCCACACCGACTGACAATGACAATTACTCTGCACACTTCGGTTCCTGGATGACTTTATCTTTAAAAAATTTGTCAAAAGGTTGAGTCCACTGAAGAGTTTGTGGCAACGTTTTGTGTGTTTCAAAGAAAGCCAAACATGGTGAAAAACCAACCTTAACTTCACCTAAGTTACCTAAAGAAGCAAATATTCACCTCCTGGCTGAAGATCAAACAAGAACTATGAGAAGGTCTGAAAGTTCTGTTCTTAAGCGGTGGCCCTCAACTCCCAGGAAAACTATACGTTTCTACCAATGTGGAATACGGAAAAGAGGTTACAGACTGGAGTTGAGAAAAAGAGTTAAAGGTACTAGAGACTGGGGTGAACAGAAAGCTAGCGAGGAGAGGCTGAGAATCAGTGAGAGGAAAAAATCCAGAAACGAAATCCAAGAGGTTCGATTCAGCATTAAAGTAAAGGGAGAAAAGGAAGAGGTTGAAACGCGAGGGAAGGGACGACAGAGAGGGCAGAGCCGGTGGCTCGGCACCGTTCAGGGCAGGGCTGGGTCCAGGAAGAGTTAGACCTCACCAGTTCAGCAAGCTTCCCATTTGGGGCTAAAGCTGGAGAAGAAAACAGCCCTAGGGAGCAGACAATGAGCCACCGCCCCAGGAGCCGCGGCTCCAAGCACGCAGGTGGCGGCTTCCCGGCCCTGTGCCGAGTAGGTCGGCTGTCCCGGGCCAATCCCGCCGGGCCAGGCCGCGGAGAAAGGAGGAGGGAGACGGCCCGCGTCCCGGGCGAGCGGGCCTGTGAGCATACTTACCCTAGGCGAGGAAAGGTCCCCGCCCAGAGAGGCGCCTCCGTCCGAGCTCCCGGCGGGCTGCGGAGCCGCCCCGGGCAAGCGCGCGGCGCGAGGAGAGGACGGGAGGGAAGGGAAAGCGGGGCGGGAAGAGGAACCGCGCTGGAGCGCAGCCGCTGCTACCGCTAGGCCCAGCGGCTGCGGAGCCCTGCGGCCGCCAGGGAAGGGAAGGCAGGGAGCCTTCGGCAATGGCGACGGCCCGGGCCGGAGGGGAAGCGGAACAACCGCCGCCGCTGCGCGTGGCCACAACCCTGGGGGAGGGCGACGGCGTGGAGCGGGCGAGGGCGGGACCAGAACACCGCCCCTCCCTGCTCCAAGCCTGGAGCTCGCGGGGCGGAGACCAGCACCTCCTCCCAATGGGCGGACTCGCGCAGGGGCTGCTGGGAGTTGTAGTTTAGTGGCGGGGGCAGCCTTTTTTTTTTTTTTTTTTTTTTTTTTTTTTTTAGGGTAATCTTTGTATTAAGAAGGACGGCCAGTTCCTCATTTAATACAGCATTGTCTCCAGTCAGGTTTTTGCAAACGGAAGATGCTGATAATGATTGTTGTTATACATATCTGCTCCAGGACATTTGTTTCTGGAAATTCATCCATTGTCCATTTTGCTTTTTTACCTACAAAACTCTTACCATAATTTTGCTGCTAAATTAAGTCCCACCTCCTTGCAAATTAAGGCCTTCCTGTTTTAGCCACAGAGTTCATCAATGCATTCACGTATCTACAAATATTTGAGTGTCCAATATGTACCAAACATTTTTAGGTATCAGGGATACAAGGATGAACATGATTCACCTAGCCTTTGTAAAGCTTACAAATATGAAAACACAGTGATTTAAGTAGTGCTATCTGGTATCAGGAAAAAACTGGGTGAGAGTACTTTTGGATAGAGTGGCCAGAGAAGGCCTCTTTAAGGAGGTAACATTTAAGCTAAGAATAGAAAGAAAGAGACTACAATGAGAAACATCCAGGGGAAAGCATTACAGGCATGAAGAGGAAAAAAGGAGCTTGCTATGGTTAGTTAAGAAGGCCTGTGTAGCTGGGCTTAGTACGAGAAGGGAATAACATAAGAATACACTACAGCAGACAAGATTCAGTCATGAAGGATCTCGAATACTATGGTAAGAAAACTGCACTTTATTCCAAGAAGCCATTAAAGCGGTTTAAGCAGGGAAGTGATGTTACGTGGTTTACACTTTGCTATGTGGAGAATGGAGTACAGAAATGCAAGAATAGAAGGGAAATAAACTAGAGAGGCAATAATCATGATGGACACTAGGGAGACAGCAGTGGACATAAAGAGAGTTGGCCATATTGTGCTTATCTCTGTATGTAGAACAAAAACTCAATTGATATGGAGGCTATAGTAAAGAAAGGAATGAAGGAGCAATATGGCACATTATTAGATAATCTGAAAAATGCCCCCATTATTAAACACACATAAACACTGGATAGCTGGGCATGGTGGCTCACGCCTGCCCTGGGAGGCTGAGGCAAGAGGATCGCCTGAGCTCAGGAGTTAGAGACCAGCCTAAGCAAGAGTGAGACCCTATCTCTACTAAAAAAAAAAAGATTAGCCGGGCATGGTAGTGCATGCCTGTAGTCCCAGCTACTCAGGAGGCTGAGACAGGAAGATTGCTTGAGCCTAGGAGTTTAAGGTTGCTGTGAGCTATTATGACGCCACTGCACTCTAGCCCAGGTGACAGAGCTAGACCCTGTCTCAAAAAAAAAAAAAAAGAACCACTGGATAAAATAGGACATCCTTTCAAAGGCATAACTAAGCTTGCCAGCATGAAAGGAGAATGCCTCTGGTAGTCTTCCAAACTCCACCATCAACCCAAAGCAGCAGCAGAAAACAAGAGTGGTAAGCAGGGCGGTGAAGCCATAATTACATTGAGGGTACCTACTTATCTCAGAAATCTCTAGAGTTTCAATGGCTGCACAGGAGAGAGGAGACTGAAGACAAGGCCTTGGGCCTATAAAAGAAGTTGGGACTGTGATCCTGCATAGGACAGGAAACTCAAATGGCTATACTTTCCCAAGACTAGGAAAAAAAATCCCCTGGAGTAGCCCAGGGAGACATACAGAACATTTGCCTGCTTGCTCTAGCCTGGACTTGGTGTGGAGGGGAAAAAAAATTTCCCTTTAAAATTAATAACCACAAATTTTTCCTCAGAAGGGTTTGAAAGTTCAAATTTGTAAAGAAAGCGGTTCTACTTTCTTGGTAGTACTTGGGGGCCTGGAAGAAACAAATACAAATCCTCACTGCACAGGTGCACCCTTAACCCAGGTCTCAAAGGATTACACACATAAGCAAAATTCCCAAAGCCCAACATGAGCACTCAAAATATAATACATTACCTGAGGAGATAAGTCACCATGAGTGAGTCAACAGAAACTACAAAGAAAATAATGGAGCCCATATGGACTTTAGATATTGGAATTACTGGTTACAGAATATAAAATACGTTTATTTAAGTGATTAAGGAAGACAGGAGCTAGAAAACATGAGCAAGAAACAAGATACTATTTTTTTTAAGTGACCAAGGCTGAGCATGGTGGCTCATGCCTGTAATCCCAGTACTTTGGGAGGCTGAGGCAGGAGGATCTTGTTAGGCCAGGAGTTCAAGACCAGCCTGGGCAACAGAGCAAGACTCTTATCTCTACAAAAAATGGAAAAAGTAGCTGGGTGGGGTGGCATGTGCCTACAGTCCTAGCTATTTGGGAGGCTGAGGTAGAAGGATCACTTGAGCCCAGGAGTTTGAGGCTGCAGTAAGCTATGATCTTGCCACTGCACCCCAGCCTGGGCTTTAAAAAGGAATAATCAATTTTGATATTAATAATTTCCTAGCTGTTCTACTTTAATGATCTTCTTTGAAACTCTGAAAAAGTGTCTTTAACATTTTTATGAAATTTACATTTAAATAAAACTGATCTTCATCTAAATTATTTTATTCTTATTTACAATGGTGGTTTCCATTTTTAGCTTAAATTGAAAGGTTTCTATTCACAAAATAGGAATAATTTGTTTCTACTAAATACAGAACTCATTTTTTTATCCCAAATGAAGACAAAATCAACTTCTCACAAAATATATATTAATTCAACAGAATTAAGATTCCTCTATTGCCACTTGATGCTTGAGGATTATCAAGGGTCTACGCAACAGGGCACTAAATTTTGGAATTAGCTAAGAATGATCCAAAATTTCCTTTGGTAAACATAATTTCAGCCATAAATGAAGACAAAAGACAAAAGTAATAAGTAAATTCTAGAAGAACACCTGTAGTCACAGATGACTAGGTCTTATTTAGATTTATAGAAAGCATTTAACTGCATAAAACTTACAGGGAAAAATGGCCATATTTGAAAACAGCTACAAGAATCAAAGTAGAACACAGGATTGTAATGAGCAGAGTTACAGAACATACTAAAGAGGTATGTATAGTCAGTCCCACTGGAACCTGTAGAGTCACATTCTTATATACCTATGGAGAGAAAGGGATAGAGAAGTTAGAAACATTTAAAATGCGTGTCATAAGGTGAGACCACCATTTCTTTGACTTTTAATTTGATCTTCTTTCTTTTCTATTTTTTTTTACAGACAAGATCTTGCTTTGTTGCCCAGGCTGGTCTTGAACTCCTGGACTCAAGCAATCCTCCTGCTTCAGCCTCCCCAGTAGCTGGAATTATAGGCACAAGCCACTGCACTGGCTCTTTCTTTTAAATATCTTTCAGCCAATGCTACACTATATATAACATTATTGTTTGAATGACTCTTTTGGATCCAATATTTCATTTAATGTTACAGAATCAAACTCAATTCCCACAATAATTTGTTAATTTTCATTTGTTCTGACTTCTCCCTTTTACATAAAGTTAAGTATATTACTATAAGAAAAGCTATATCTGAGGCCAGGTGTGGTGGTGGCTCACACTTGTAATCCCAGCACTTTGGGAGGCCAAGGCAGGAGGATTCTGTTAGGCCAGGAATTCGAGACCAGCCTGGGCAACACAGTGAGAACCTGCCTCTACAAAAAATTTTAAAAATTAGCCAGACGTGTCCTAGCTACTTGAGAGGATAAAGCAGGAGAATAGCTTTAGCCCAAGAGTTTGAGGTTACAGTGATCTATGATCACACCACTGCACTCCAGCCTGGGCAACAGAGCAAGGCCCTGTTAAAAAGGGAAAGGGAAAAGGAGGAAAGAAGGGGAAGGGAAAGGGGAAGAGGAAGGGGAAGAGAAAAGAAAAGGGGAATATATAAGGAGGAAAGAAAAAAGGAGAAAAAGAAAAGCTATATCCCTGAGGTCCCCAACTCCCAAGCCAGTCCAGTTTGTGGCCTGTTAGGAACCAGGCCGCACAGCAGGAGGTGAGAGGGGGTGGGTGGGATGCACAAGAGTGAATGAGGGAAGCTTCATCTGTATTTATAGCCACTCCCCATCTCTTGCATCACCGCCTGAGCTCCCCCTCCTGTCAGATCTGCAGCATTAGATTCTTCTGCACTATAGTGAGTTGTATAATTATTTCATTATATATTACAATGTAATAATAACAGAAATAAAGTGCACAATAAATGTAATGTGCTTGAAT